ATCGGTGTCACCTGGTCTTATCTGCTCTCCGCCTGTGCTTAGGGCTCTACCTCCATCGGCCTCATCTCTGTCAGTCATCTCCCAGGTGTCATCAGCCAATTCTCCACCATGGCTCCTCACTACATTGACTACACTGTGGGCTATCTTCCTGGCTGCTCTTTGGGTCCCGCCTGGCTCCTCCTGCTCCTGGATCCTCCCTGGCTCCTTCCACCTTCATTGCTGCACTGGTCTCTCCCTCTTTCATCTGACCTGGTTTCTTGCCTTTCGCCTGCTCCACGTCTTCCTCCACCCCCTCCCCCTCCCTCATCCTCAGTTGGCATGTAATGTCATGTGTAGTTCTGTTTTGTTTTTGTTTTCTGTGCTTTGTTCCTGTTTTGCCTGTGTTCCCTTTGTTTCCATGGTTATTCATTGAGTTTGCATGTGTTGCTAAGTTACATTAAATCATCCTCCATGTATTTACGCTCTGAGTTTCCTTAGTTCATTTGTCCAGTCTCGTTTACGTTATGTTGGAAGTGGTTGTGTTTTTCCATGATTCTACTGCATGCCCATTATTAAATTGTTAAATAAAGACCGTTTATTCTCCAACGTTGTGCGCTCATACGCCTTATTCACGGCAGCGCCATCTTTGATTTTTAATGAGAATGAAAGCGAGGCTGTGAGGGATAGACTTGCATCTCTTCAATGGGCTGTACTGTTATTTAATGTGTTTTCGGATTGTTCTGCTCATGAAACACTGGAAAAATATCTTTCCAAGAAATTTTAGTTGACAAAAAACTCCCGACAATGTAAGCTGTGGAAAATTGTAAGTAATCTAGGAGCTTTATTCAGCTTTTTACAGCGGATGCCATTGGAAACACGGTAAGTCTATCCCTCACAGCCTCACTTTCATACCTGTCATGGCGCTGCTCTGAATAAGGTCTATTGCAGCATCCGTAACCGTTACAATTATTTAGTTGTATGTACAGTATTAGGATAAACAAAATGCTAGCTATGAAAATAGTATTTGCAGGACAAAGAAGATGTGGTACTCATTGTGGTGTAGAAAAATGACAATTACAGAATTCTTCAGTGATGTATATATATATATATATATATTGTGTGGGTGTAAAAATGTATACGTACACGCATTAGTTTTCTAAACATCCAATGACCAAAAGTGCACATAAAACAACAACAACAAATCTTTTATAAAATGATTATATAAACAGTTTATATATGTATATTATTCAATTATACGTATAAGAAATGTTATTACATTATATTTACTACTTAGCCTGAAGATTAAACATTTTGTGGTTTCTGTGGTTTCCACAACTGAGCCAGAACCATCTGCTAAAACTTGAAAATGATTTGTAGAACAATAAAAAAAGAGGCAATCCACCCATGCTGTGTAAATATTGCATCCCCAAATAGCCCGAGGAGCAGCTATCTACAAACTTTCATAAAAACTTAATGCAAGTTTGCTCCTAATTCTGAACACCATGGGAACATTTTCTTGCTTCAAGCCTTGTTCAATTTAACTTTCGGATGCTCCTGAGCGACGAGCGCAGAGAGACATTCTGTAGAAGTGAAAGAGAAATCATTTTAAACCTCCAGAGAAATGTTACACAAAAACTATAAAATCTCCTGCTCAGCTGTAAAGCAGAAACCACGGTCCACTCAGTGTCAGTACAGCCGAAGGCTCGTGGATTCTCTCAACTGTCATTTCTGATATAAAATCCAAAATCTTGCTGTGTAGAAAGAAGCTGAAGTGAGATTGAGCCTTAACCCTCATTTGTTCTAAAAATGAGTCATACTTGCAAGCAAGGTTTATGAATAACAGGTGTTTTGGGCTGTCTGACTGGGCTTAAATAAATAAAAATAATAATAGAGTGCCGACGTTACGACATCACTCTGTAGGCCAAAACGCGGAAGTGAGTTAGCATTTTAGCACTACCGGTTCCCTCGCTCTAAAGCCTATGGGATTTTTGAATGGGTTTTTGCTAAATCACCTGAAATAAGGTCTGTGGTGAACAAAGCCTCTAAATATTTTCACGTTTTGATCTATGACATAGAACACACAGTTATAACCTGCTTGTGGTTTTTTAAACTTTATTGTGTCTGATTGTGTTTTTAAAATCTTTATATAGGCTTCAAAATGTATAAATTTTGGATTAACTTGTAAAGATTATCTTGATAGACAAAACGTGTAAGGGTCACAACTCTTTGTTAAACACAGATCTTATTTTTTTTGCGATTTTCCAAAAGTCTATGGGGAAAATGCATTGCTTTTCGACCGAGGGAACCTATGCGCCGCTAGCATCCGAGTTGTCCTACAAAGTGACGTCATCACTTCGGCACTCTATAAAGGAGAGGTTGGGCTGCAGTCTTAAAAACAAAATGTCTCCTAAAGGCATTTGTGCTCTTATGTCACCCTTAACATTGTATTAAAGACAAAACCATTTTAGAGATTTGTTTCATCCAATTTTTACTGATTGCATGAATTTAATTCCTTTCAAATAAACAGAGGTTTCATATTTTCTTTTTCTTATGTCTGCAAAGGTTCTGTCAACTATAATATACGAACAACCCATTGCATCATGTGATGTTATTTTAGACTCTCATTTATTTCAATATTTTTTAACATTAACCTATTGTCAATGAGTGTAATTTGTTGGGAAAATTGTTATGGTTTGCAATATTTCTGATTCCAATGCAACTGTATATTCAAATCTTGATTCTTGATTTTGGTTGGCTAGACAAAGCCTGACATTGAAATTGATTCAAATGTCAACTATGTTACACTGTAGAGCCAACTCCTGAAAAACATATTTGTTATGACCCTACTGTGTGTCTGTGTCCACAGATGATAATGAATTGTTTGTCATAGTTTTTTTTTTTTTTTATGTGCCAGAGGAGACTGACTGAGCATCAACATGAGCTAACAATGTGTGCAATAGTTAATATGTCCAGTTAACTATGATACATGTGAATTAATATTATTATTTTACATTTTAAATAACTAGAATGCTGCTTCTGTACATGTTTTATGCACACAGGTTGGATTTTGCATAAAATCTCTTTGGTTTAAATTACCAAAATGATCTTTAAGGCAGATTTCTGAATTTTCTGAATTTAAAAAGTGCACAACCAGTGTACACTCAATGGCTAAAGAATCTCTGTAATGCACTATGAGGGTTACACTGTGTCTCGCCAGAAGATGGCATTCAAAGAGCAATCATACAGGTGTACATTAAGTTCCTTTGTCTTTTTTTTTTTCAATTAAATTGTTTAATTATGGTTTACACAAGCATAATACAAATGCACACTGTCCGTTTTTTTGGTTTTATTCACTCCCTTACAAAAAAAAGTGCTATTACTGTAGTATACAAATTTAAAAGGGGTGATTGATTGCGATTTCACTTTTTTTTCCCATTTTAAATAGTGTGTAATCTTGGTGCATGACCAGTATCTGCAAAGTTGCTGCGCTGAAAGTTCAACATAAGCAGAGATATCGTCTTTTAAAAATCAGGAAGTTTAATGCCTACAAAAACGACTTGAATGGGACAACAACGAGATACTTCTTTTATTCGTAACTAACCCATAAATTTACATCAACCCTCTCTCCGGAATATACAAAAAAATGGGGCATTGCCATATTTCTGCGACTTTGTCGAAAAGGAAGAGTTAAAATTACAATCGCAATTTAGCTCTCTGTGCTGCGCATTTACAGATGACAGCCTAAATTTGTAATTATGTACTAATTTTGTAAATGTATTTTCGATCTATACTTTATGACGTTATTTTTCGATTTGATCAAGAGCGTAATGCCAACGCTGTTTGTTTATAGTGCTATTTTGTGTGTATAAGACAAACGTCTATAAAGTTTAAAAAATATGTAATCGCAACAGCAAACTTCAGCTGCTGTTATCAGTGTACAGTATGGGTTTAGCACAGTTGCCACGTTCACCTAAAGAAAACGATACACTGAGTAAACTAGGTTTTGTGAATAGATAAACGGGTGTCATTATATTGATAAAACAATAACTTTAAATGTATTAATAATAATAAAAAAAGTACCATTTAGAAAAGTTTTGTAAGAGCCGTGTTTGGGGAGGTTCTGCTTGACTCTCGTCCTCGCCGCTTTCTGGGCCTGATTCGGGGTCAAACTTATTTCCGGACAACGTGCACTACGCAGATTAGCCAATTACAACACACCGGCCCAAACTAACCAATCTGAGCCTACTGTATTTTTCTAAGGGAGTGGTTTCATAGAATCAGATCATAGAATCAAGTCAACCGGCCTTCAAATGACTGAGAAAACGGCTTACAATAAAGGTGAAATTTATGAAAAAATAAGGCAAAAAAACACACACACACACACACAAAAAAAAACTCCAAGTGCTCAAGTGTCTGAATTTGTTCCCTCGTTTCCATTCACTCTTTCAAGTGGACTATATTAGTGGACTAACGTATGGAATAGCGAATGAGGGTATAGGGGGCGTGTGTTCATTTGCTGCTAAATAGACATCTGCTAACAAATGTTCACATGTAAACGTTAATTTAGCAACAGTAAGATAGTTTGTGCTTGGACATTCTGATACTGCTGCATCAATGACCACCTTGTGCCAGTTCCAAATTCACAATTTAATGGATCATTTCCATCGAGTCTCATTAATGGATAATACATATTTTATGCCTTCAGATATTTTAATGATTAAATAACATAATATGCATCTGAATTATTTTATTAATCATTTTAGCATATGCTGCTTCATGAACAGTCACACTCAGATCTAGACAGGTGGAGCTGGAGGAGGTGGAGGGTTTCAGAGGAGTATTAATTGTGTGCTGCAGGATCAGCTTACAGGGAACAATGAATCAGACTATTTAAATTGTGTTGCCTTACTCTTAGTCTCAGCCTCTGAAGGTGAGCCCATGGGCCGCCTACAGCCAAATGGCAGGCAAGAAGTCAGGCAACTCAAGACTGCCCTGCTCTCGAACAATGGCATATGACTCACCTCTCTCACAGGTTCGCTCCCAGTATCCCGTCCCCGTGCAGTCACAGATGAAGCGATTCCAGCCCTCTTTGCAGATGCCGTTGTTTTTGCAGGGGTTGCTGTCGCACTGTTTGCCTGTAACTTTGCTGCAGGATGACTTGATCCCGACTCCATTCTGGGCCTCGGCGATCTGACGGATGTCTTTACTGCGTCCATCTATGAAGAGATCCCGGATGCAGCCTACAAAGCCATAGTTCAGCATGGCGGTCCACAGTTCGGTGGGGAGAATCAGGCCAGCGCGGTTGTCCGGGAGTCCTCCGAGATATAGGTCACCCTCGAGGTCCAGAATCTCATTCTCTCCGCTGGCGGTGAATGGAGTCCGACGGCTGTTCACAGAGATGATACCTGTTCAAAACAAAAACAGGCTTTCAAGTTTGACAAAATAAGCTCAGCCAAAAGAAGCCTGGCTTTCAAATACACTCACCTAAAGGATTATTAAGAAACACCATACTAATATTGTGTTTGACTCCCTTTCGCCTTCAGAACTGCCTTAATTCTACCTGGCAATGATTCAACAAGGTGCTGAAAGCATTCTTTAGAAATGTTGGCCCATATTGATAGGATAGCATCTTGCAGTTGATGGAGATTTGTGGGATGCACATCCAGGGCATGAAGATCCCATTCCACCACATCACAAAGATGCTCTATTGGGTTGAGATCTGGTGACTGTTTAGTACAGTGAATTCACTGTCATGTTCAAGAAACCAATTTGAAATAATTCGAGCTTGATGACATGGTGCATTATCCTGCTGGAAGTAGCCATCAGAGGATGGGGACATGGTGGCCATAAAGGGATGGACATGGTCAGAAACAATGCTCAGGTAGGCACTAAGGGGCCTAAAGTGTGCCAAGAAAACACCCCCCACACCATTACAACACCACCACCAGCCTGCAGAGTGGTTACAAGGGATGATGGATCCATGTTCTCATTCTGTTTACATCAAATTCTGACTCTACCACCTGAATGTGTCAACAGAAATCGAGACTCATCAGACCAGGCAACATTTTTCCAGTCTTCAACTGTCCAATTTTGGTGAGCTCTTGCAAATTGTAGCCTCTTTTTCCTATTTGTAGTGGAGATGAGTGGTACCCAGTGGAGTCTTCTGCTATTGTAGCCAATCCACCTCAAGGTTGTGCGTGGTATGGCTTCACAAATGCTTTGCTGCATACCTCAGTTGTAACGAGTGGTTATTTTAGTCAAAGTTGCTCTTCTATCAGCTTGATACAGTCGGCACATTCTTTTGTGACCTCTAGAATTATTGCCTTTTCACACTAATATTTGTAAACCCTAGAAATGGTTGTGCATGAAAATCCCAGTAACTGAGCAGATTGTGAAATACTCAGACCGGCCCGTCTGGCACCAACAAACATGCCACGCTCAAAATTGCTTAAATCCCCTTTCTTTCCCATTCTGAAATTCAGTTTGGAGTTAGATAATTGCATTAATGAGAAATTGAACAGGTGTTCCTAATAATCCTTTAGGTGAGTGTATATGTATGATGATACAGCGGAGACATTTTGTGCACATTATAAAAGTGTACATTTGACCACAGAATGCTGATCCATATAAAATCAAGCATTCCAGAGAAGTATAATACAGATATAGATAGATACGTACATTTGTGTGTGTGTGTGTGTGTGTGTGTGTGTGTGTGTGTGTATATGTGAGTTAAAGTATTCTGACACAATTATGCACTAAAGGATACAGGCAGGCAGGCAGGAGGTTCAGAATAGAAACATCAATATAGTCCAGTGTGGAGGCAGTGGCAGATTGAGGGGGCATTCTGAGTTCTTCCACTGAACTGTATTGTCAAAGTATTCTTGGTCTTTCAACACCCACATGTCTATATATCTGTCTCAGCCCTACGTTGCTGAGAAATACAAGTTTCTAGGGATTTCCATGACTGCTACTAATCAGAAAAGGAGCCAAATTGCCATCTTTGAATACAGTAGGGTCTGGGAAGAAAAGTGATTCAAGCGCTGAGTCTAAAATATTATATCATCATTCTACAACATAACTTTTAGATGATCTAAAAGTTTCAGAACCTAAAAGCATCCTGTTCATTTCCAGGTTTAAATGAAAGAAAAATCCGATTTCTAGTGTTGTCTCAGACTTTTAGACTACCGAGTATAACATGACCAGAGGCAAAAAAAAAAAAAAAAAAAAAAAATGAGAGCCACCCTCTAGTGTCCGTTATCCAATATGAAGTTTGTGACAAAATAATAACAATTCTGCACTGTAATATTCCACTGAGCAGATTCTGCTCTGATCAAGAAGTAATAATAAAAACATCCACACATTTATGCTGCTAGATGACTTTTTATTGAAGTCTTTGAGAGGACACATTTTCATCTGCTGTGAAAAGGATTTGGAATCAACCCAAATTACAGCTCTTAGTTTTATACAGAGAAGTTTAGAATTAAGATACAATTTAGAATAGATTCTTTTTTGGATGAAAGTGCTACATAAGTTACACTCTTTTTACAGTTACAACTTTTTAAAGAGATACCCCACCCAAAAAATGAAAATTCTGTCATCATTTGCTCACCCTCAAATTGTTTCAAACCTGTATGAGTTTATTTCTTCTGCTGAACACAATGGAAGATATTTTGAAGAACGACTGGAACCAAACAGTTGTTTGGTATCATTGACTTACATAGTAGGGAAAAAAAATACTATGGAAGTCAATGGTGTCAAAGTTCCAATCATTCTTCAAAATATCTTCCTTTCTGTTCAGCAGAATAAATAAACTCATACAGGTTTGAAACAACAGAATTTTCATTTTTGGCTGGAGTATCCATTTAAGCTCCAAAATCAAGCAAAAAATATTGTCAATGTCTAAAGGATGTGAGAAAAAAAAGCCTCTTGTTTAGTTTACACCACATCCCCTTGTAGCTTCATCTTGGGGTTTGTGCTGTAGGCGCAGGAAGAGAGATCCAGTTGTATGTTGTTGTTTTCATAGACTGTTGTTTTGATATAATGCTTGTTTTTTTGGGGGGGATAAAGTTGGGATAACTCGTAACTATTTATTTTTTTTTTATCAACTAGTTAATCTGCATTTAAGTGTTATTTCATGTGTTTTTCAGAGAAATATATGCTAGTGTTTAATGTTCAGTTTCTCAAATGCTTTTGCATTATGTGGTTTCTGTGTCATACTAACCAGCAATCGTGCATGAAACTTAAATTTGTTAAGTTGCTGCAACAAAACTTGTTTTGTTCTTATTGTATCGACCTAAACTAACTGTGTGGAAAAGTTTTCCTTAGTTTAATTAAATTCTTTGAACAAATTTTTTTCTGCGTGTAGGCGTAACACAGGAAAAAAAATAATTATTGTTTTTAGAAAACAATAACAGAATGATAATCCAAATGAATAATTAAAACAATATTTTAGTAAGCAAATTCATTAACCCGATTTCTTTACTTTTTAACCCTTTATTTTTAAGATTTTTAAGTTCTGCAAAAAATGAATTAACTCACCTGATCTTCCATCTCTCTGAATGTCCACGTGGTGCCAGACTCCGTCATTGACCTTACTCTGTGTGGCTTTGACTTTAATAGTTCCTGATCCCATGTCCAGCAGAAGATAAAGATTTCCATCTAGAAGTTCCACTGCGAAGAAGTCCACTTTGTTGCTCCTCTGGCTACGAGGATCCTTCTTGTCCTGGGGTTTACCTTGCGTAAAGAGGATTAGTCCATTGGGCTCTGAGCTGCGAAAGTCAAAGGAAATAGAGCCCACACGCTTGGTGTTCCACTTGGGCAAGCCGAGGAAGGATTCGGGCGTCTCAAAGGAGATGGGATCTAAGGTGGGGACATTCTCACATTTAAACACCACATCTCCTTGAAGTTTCATCTTGGGGTCTGCAATGCGGGCCAGACGAGAGAGTTCCAGACGTATGTCGTTGTTTTTGTAAACCACCTAGAATTGAAGAAAAACATTATTGGCAAATGCGATTTGATCTTGAACAACCTGAAAACTAGAGCAGTATTTAGAGTAGTATTTACTTTAAAGAAAGATACACATTTATCAAGCTAAATATTTAAAAGGTTGTAGTTTGTTTTCTGGATGTCATATGTTAGTGAAATATGTTCATAGTTAATATGATGAAACATACCTACTGTGATAGGACAACTGTATGCAATGAAGTAGTAATTATTCCTTAAGACACCAGTTGGCCGGAAGTCATTGGATTTTGTTTTTGCTTTTTTCCCCCCCAAAGTTAGCTCACTAGAGAAAATAGCTTAGCATGAATAATTTTTTATTTAATTTTATTTTTTTGCTGATTGTTTTGATTTTGTTTCTAATACAATGCATTTTATGCAACATGCAAATAAGACATAAGGAGCCACTGATATGAAATGTAAATAATTATCCAAGCTTATCAAAAGAAATATATATATATATATATATATATATATATATATATACTATAATAAATAAATAAATAATAAATAAATAAATAAATAAATATATTATTTAAGAACTGAAGACTGCAATTTTTTGGAATAATATTTATTTATGTTAATTGAGAATGTTGGTAAAAACAACATCATTTGTAATATTGTAAATGTTTATGTAAAATGCTTAGTATCAATAACAAATGAATAGAATATATTCTAAGTCCTGTTTTTAAATTATAGTATATGCCCCCTACCTATTGGTAAAAATAACACAGCTATTGAAGAGCAAAATCCCCCAATACACTAGAATAAATTAAAATACATTCAAAGGATGTGCTGTGATAGTGTGCCTATTTACCAAGGCAAAGACTCATATATAGAGTCAGATATGCATTATAGCCAAATACAACACAATATAAACCGAGAAGAACTGTAAATTGAAATTCACTCAAGCGGAAAATTAAAAGGCTTTTTCCTTCTTTTCCTCCTTAAAGAAAGAGCTCTTACTGCTATATAGGACACTATGCGCACAGCAAACAGCAGTTCTGTTAGAGAACACAGCTGTCAGCAAACAGATTTTTGAAGCTCCAGGATTACAGATAATCCTGGAAGATTTGACAGTAAATCAACACAGGTGCCCTGCGTAACTAACTACAGTGACTCAGAGAGAGAGAGAGAGAGAGAGAGAGAGAGAGAGAGAGAGAGAGAGAGAGAGAGAGAGAGAGAGAGAGAGGATACTCTGGGAGGATATCTTTACCTAACATTATCACATTTAGTTTCTCTACCTCTTATCTGGCACCAGCACGGCTTCAATTATCATACGCTTCCTAATCATCTGTGTTGCAGAGATGTGCCAATAGAGCAAGAGGTTTCCATGAAGTAAACAATTCTATTGATTTTCCCAAATGAGAGTTTTTTCCGTGTTAATGTGCAGTATATAGTACCTTTCAGGGCAAGACCCTACAATGAGCTCCAAGATTATGGCAAAATAAAGCTTATTGCCAAAGCACTTGTCTAGCCTAACTTCATGTCTCAATAGAAAATATATCAACAAAAAAATTGGCCAAGACATTGCACTGGGGTTACTTTCAGAAACGAAATGGCAACTTTGCATGGTATGTGTGCTCTTAATAAAGCCCATCTATAAAGGCCAGACTAACACCCTGACACCACAATCCCAATTTTAAACCACTACAGTAATGCTACAATGTAGGGGACAAAATCTCTTCTTTCTACGGTCCCTGGTGATCCAAAAAAACGAAACAGAAAACGTTTCCTCAGCGCTTCTGTTACTTTCCTCCAATCAAATTTTCCTGCCCTGGAATGTAGTTATGCCTCGGGTTATGATTCCAGTGGCCATTACCTCTAGCCGATCGATGGCAGTATAATGGAAAATAATGTGTAGAGAAATGGTGTGGGTAGGGTAGTCCACAGACTCAGATACATTATCTAAAGCTACACCTTTGCTTTATCACCTTATCTTGGGGCCATCCTCTGTCCCCAGAGTGCCATTTATAATCAAAGCTGGCCTTTACGACTCTATAGGCTCTCTGTCTTGACTCTCTCCCTCCGTGAGCAGGGGCTGCAGAGTATCGATCAGGATCTGGGAGTGGTGAGTAGACCCAAATCTATCTGGGCTGAGTGTCTTAGCATGTTACAGGGCATCTGGCTGCTGTATCAGGCCTGATATTATTGAGAAGTGGTACAAGTAGAAACACGGGTGACTAACACGTGGAGAGACAGGTTTAATGGAGAAAATCAATATTTCAGAGGATAAAAAAATGAGTTGTTACAAAGTAACAACTGACTACATTTTAGAATACAATAAACTAAATTGCATAAACAATTCTTATTGTTAACTAATCCTATGCTTTTAATCAGCACATCACAGATCTTAGTGAGGAAAAATCAATTATTGAGCAAGCAAAAAATAAGTGATCTCCTTGACTTATAATAATTATTCACAATTTTAGCTGTCAGATTGGATATTTTGCCTTTGTTTGATTATGTCACATCTGCAAATAAAAAGTAGAATGTCTAGTTATTACAGAGCATGCATGGAGCATCGGAGCCATAAATAATGAACATTAGCATAATGGATCAATCAAAAAGGAAACCATCTTAGGATCTGATGGCATAACAAAGAAACCTTGTTCAGAGAAGTCAAGGAAGTGACAGGCAAAGCCCGTTATACAACTGGACTGTCTTTTCAAAGATGGTGTCAACTCTGAGACTTCAATGATTTAAAAACAACCCAGAGATTGCTCTTTTCTTCTTCAACAAGTAATAAATCTAGCAATCGTTATGTCAAATGTCAGTGTCGCCTAACTTTTAGTAATGAATTAAAATGAGTCAAAACAACAGGCGAAGACAAAAATTATAATGGAAGTCAATGGAAACCGAAACTGCCACAAAATATCACCTTTTGTGTTTTGCAGGAGAAAGAAAGTCGCACAGGTTTGGAATGAACTAAGGTAAGTGACTGATAACAAAATGTATATTTTTTTGGGAGGCCCATTATTCTACCCCAAGAATGACACACTTTTAAACACTGATCTAACTCTAGAATACCAAACTCCACACCACAACTATTACAATATCTTTGGAATCACTTTGAGAGAATTTTTAGTTTTAAAACATTTGTAGTCAATCAAAATCCTTGCTATTTTAAAGTGTGCACTCCAATTATGTTCACAGAACATGAATGAAGCAAGTCGGAATAAAGAGACTGTTGTTATCAGTGATAATATAGTGATCATTATCATTCTTGGTATGACTGACACTTTAATCATGAGTTATGTGCGTTCACATAATGTAAAACTCATTAATTTGTATTCATCTGTAAGCGTAGAATGGTTTAGGCTGTTAGGAGGATGCTGTTTAAAACTCACATATCGCTCAAACTAAGATTCATTTGACCAAAGTTATTTTTTTTATAATGATTTTTCTAGTCACAATAGTTCTGTGGATGCTTTATTATGTACAAAAACTTGATTTGGAGGTCAAACCTGAAATCATTTTTTTTCTTCTGTGCTTCATGTAGACATGTGCCGGTATTCGTTAATGCGATAAATCGCGGTAATGAATATGCACGATATTGTTATCGAGGGCTCTTCAAAATACCGTGAAAAATAATAGATTCGAATTTAGACTTTTAGAGCGTGCATTAGCTGCTTATTTTCCATCAACCGCTCAAACACTGCGTGCTGCGCAAAACACGCGCGCACTCTGATGTAAACAATCCCCACATGTATAAGCACTGTGTGCATGCGGCAGTGCGCACTAGTCTAATGTAAACAATCCTCACATGATGTAGAAGCATGGCGGAACGCTCCCGACGATTTATCCCCGCAGGGCTGCCAACTCTCACAGATTCAGCTTGAGACTCAAGCTTGATACTTTCAGACAGGACGCGGAATACGCTCGCGACACGCAGGAATGTTTTGTTGCTCCGCCGACCTCGACCACGCCGTGGTTAAAGTTCAAAATAGTTAAACTTCTTATTTTAAAATGGCAAATCGCGTTGTATCTGAAGGGCAACGTTGAACCAAGCGGCCAGCGTCGCGCATTCTGCGTCCTGTCTGAAAGGCGCTTAACGCATTTGACACTTTTCACATGCTCTCCCACAGAGAAAAATCACAGAGCAAAGAGGACACTGACACCGACAGACTAGACAGAGCAGGTTACTTTTGATATGAAAGTTGTTATTGATAAATCAGCTCTTAGGTTCTGATCACAGATCGTTGCTCCTCAGTTCAAGTAAACCGATCATGTTACTTTAGTTTTTATTTAAAGATACAGTACAACTTACCAAAAGGTAAGGTATATTTACATAATAACGATCAATCGGCGTTTTCAAACACAGAAAGAGGTCAGTAACACTGCAGGAGAACTGTTGTCACAAAACGTTACATTTACCTCAGGAAAGCCATTTAATGACCAGCACATTAGTTGACTAGGAAAAAATAGCAAGGAGTATTTTGCTAAATATTATATTTAATTTCTCTCTGTATGTTTACAGCATTATGTGAGAGATTTTTTTTCTTAAAAAAAACATTAACAGACTGGGGCCTACCTAATATTTATCCAAATGAGTCAATATTGAATTAAGACTGAAATCAAATACAAGAATTTAATTGAATAATACAAACCGTAACCTACCAGTCATTGTACCATGTAAACATTGTAACATGTTGTCACTAAACTTTAAACAATTTGGTTTAGTTACCATATGTTTTGAAAATCACAATTATACATTGTGATGCTAGTTGAGGTTTTTTTAGAGACCCACAATGAATCTGTTTTTCTTGAGCATTAAAATATAATTTCATTAAAATATCGTGATAATACCGTATACCGTGATACAAGCTCAATCAATTAACCGCAGCATGAAAATTTGATACCGGCACATGCCTAGATTGAATTTCATATATGCATTATGAGATAGTACACAATGCTATTGCCTCTAGAGAAACACTAAAATTATCTGCACAAAAACAAACATAATATTTGGTATCA